CCCCAACCCTCCTGTACTGTCACCCATCCTCCTCTAGTCCCCCCTCATCCAACCCCTCCTGTAGTGTCCCCTCCACCAAACCCTCCTGTAGTACCCCCTCCCCAACCCTCCTGTACTGTCCCCTTATCCCAAACCTCCTGTATTGCCCCCTCCCCAACCCTCATGTAGTGTCCCCTCAACCCAACCCTCCTGTAGTGCCCCCTCATCCCCAACCCTCATATAGTATCCCCTAATCCCAACCCTCCTGTAGTGCCCTTCCCCACACCCTCTTGTAGTGTCCCCTCATCCCATTCCTCCTGTAGTGTTCTCCTAATCCCAACCCTCCTGTAGTGCCCTTCCCCCCACCCTCCTGTAGTGTCCCCTAATCCCATTCCTCCTGTAGAGTTCCCCTAATGCCAACCCTCCTAAAGTGCCCTTCCCCCCACCCTGCTGTAGTGTCCCCTCATCCCATTCCTCCTGTAGTGTTCCCCTTATCCCAAACCTCCTGTAGTGCTCCTCCCCAAATCCTTCTGTAGTGTCCCGTCTTCCCAACCCAATGTAGTGTCCCCTCATCCCAACCCTCCTGTACTGTGCCCTCATCCCAACCCTCCTGTAGTTTTCCCCTCCCCCAACCCTCCTGTACTGTCCCCTCCCCAACCCTCCTGTACTGTGCCCTCATCCCAACCCTCCTGTAGTTTTCCCCTCCCCCACCCACTCCTGTACTGTCCCCTCATCCCAAACCTCCTGTAGTGCCCCCTCCCCAAATCCTTCTGTAGTGTCCCGTCTTCCCAACCCTCCTGTAGTGTCCCCTCCCCCAACCCTCCTGTACTGTCCCCTCATCTCAGCCCTCCTGTAGTGTTCCCCTCCCCAACCCTCCTGTAGTGCCCCCTCCCCAACCCTCCTGTACTGTCCCCTTATCCCAAACCTCCTGTAGTGTCCCCTCATCCCAACCCTCCTGTAGTGCCCCCTCCCNTTAAAATTTTATAGGGTAACTCTATCTTCACTTAATTTTATAGGGAACAGTTTTAATTCAAACCATGGAAAAAACAAACCATCAACACCCCCTCCTTTAGTGCCCCCTCCCCTCCTGTCCCCTCCCCCAACCCTCCTTTAGTGCCCCCTCCCCTCCTGTCCCCTTCCCCTCCTGTACCATCCCCTCCTGTAGTGCCCCCTCCCCCCAACCCTCCTGTACTGACCCCTCTCCCCAACCCTCATACTAGGTTCACCTACCCATCCCCA